TTATTTTGATATATCACAGTGAAAGATTTATCGTCCTCTTTTTTTTTTTTTTTTTTTTTTTTTTTTTAAAAAAAAAAAAAAAAAAAAAAAAAAAAAAAAAAGATAACCTTAGAGATAAAAAAAGCTTTGCAAAACATCTTTTCCAGAGCCTTAATTAGAATCTTACAAGGCCTCCAGACCCACCCTGATACATCTCTTCAGGCTTGGTTTCCTAGTCTCTTCCAGAGCTCACATATGTAAACTGGATGCATCATAGAATTTGTTTTATTTCTCTTCTCTATCACTAGATATTTTAACTTAATTTTCGTTCTGTTTCTCTGTACGCCAACATTCAATTTGATTTTAGAGACCTAGGTTTGAGGTCCTAGGTTCAGTCTGCAATAACAGAGGGGGGGGAGAGGGAGAGAGAGAAATGAATTTTTAAAAGGAGGAGGAAGAGGATGAAGAGGGGGAGGAAAAGGAGGAAGAGAAGGAGGAGGGGAACCAAAAAGGTCTAAGAGTTCCTGGCTCAGTAGTTAAGAGCACTTGCTGCTCTTGCAGAGGACTCCAGTTCAGTTCCCAGCACTTACATGGTGGCTTACCACCACCTATAACTCAAGTTCCAGGGAATTCAATGTCCTCTTCTGGCCTTCACAGGCACCAGGAATGCATGTGGTGTACTTATATAATACAGGCAAAAACATACACACTGGGCATGGTGGCACACACTTTTAATTCCTAGCACTTGGGAAACAGAGGCAGGTGAATATGACTTCCAGGCCAGCCTGATCGACATAACAAGTTCTAGGCCAGCTATGTTCCAGACCAGGGCTACATAGTGAGACCCTGTGTCCAAAACCAAACAAAAATCCCCACTCATACACATAAAATAAAAATAAATATTTTTGTCTCCAGGTGTGGTGGCACATGCCTGTAGTCCCAGCACTTGGGAGGCAGAGGCAAGCGGATCTCTGTGAAATCAAGGCCAGCCTGGTCTACATAGTGAGTTCCAGGTCAGCTGAGCCTGCAGGGAGACCATGTCTCATAAAGCCAAAATAGATAGATGATAGATGATAGATAGATAGATAGATAGATAGATAGATAGATAGATAGATAGATGATAGATAAATATAGATAGATACATACATAGATAC